ATTCGTTTAGCGTGGCGCGCTGACTGTTATTCAAACCGATCGATGAATTGTAGCAAAGGAAGTCTAAACAAAAAAGGGAACGGCGAATTATCCCATGCTCAGGGAAAATCCCGTGGAAACTGATTAATGTTGGCACCATAACTGAGTGACACGATGTAGCATGAAAGAAAGCTCCTCCCAAATATGCTAAGCCAATCACTTGTGGGTCAACGTAGCGTGGACCGGAAATCATCTGAGGAACCCGTCGGGAGGGAGGGGTGCTTTTAACACCCTGACAATCGTGGGCTGGACGGGGAGGGGGGGGGGGGGGAGCGGGTAGTGGCAGCGATGCTACATAACTTGGCGAGTGAGAGGACCAGCGGCCCCTCACCGCGTGCAGTCTGCAGGCATGCCTTACGTCGCGTCATCGTCTGGACCCTGCGTCAAGAGCTGGGCCTGGGCATCGGGAAATGCGGGTGATGCCGAAGCCAAGGCGGAGCAGCTGCCGATGGCGCCAGTTTACCGCTGTCACGAAATAAACGCCAAGCAGGGCGCCTTCTCATCTCTGTGACCTTCAAACAGACGTTATGATCATTTTGATCATGCCATCGGCGGTGTTTCAGAATCACGTATCGACAAAAAATATAAATGTGCTCAGATGACTTACTTATCTGTCTACTCGACAATCAGATCAAGTCCCAGCGCATGGAGCTATCTTGTTCAAACGTCAAGGCAATCTGGACAGCGTTCTGTTTGTCATTGGCCGTCGAGCCGCTCTATCAAAGTCCCATCGCTGATCGCCGCGGCTTATGGTGCAGCCCACCGTATCAGGACCAGATTATGACCGTGCGCAGACAGGTCAGTAAATCAAGGTACTGAACAAGAGGCCCGCCGCACCGGCATGACGAGCGCACTTTATGGGCAAGGGAGCGCGGCCACATGTCAACTGAAAACTTGACGATTTCATCTGAAACGCAGAAACTTAACATCAGCTTTTCCGTCCCTGGCCCCTGTTCCTTTCGGCCCCAACAAGCAAATTATTAAATCATAACCACCGATAAGGGTCAAAAATGAAACGGTCTGTTATCCTCTTACGCGCGAAACACACTATTTGGCTGCTCCAGCAACTGAAAATGGTGCAGAGAGATCTTTGGCACCACCTTTAGACTTAAGTCCTCAAGCCACCCGAAACGCTTCCCAGATAGAATAGGCAAAAATAAAGCGTGCGATTTCTCCTGGCTACTGTACAACTCTCGCTGAGGCTGCTGTGATGTCACGCTCGCGTGTCGTCAGCTACTTCACGAACTAACTTAATGGTTTGACTTATCCCTCAACCAACTGATATTTGTGTTTCAACCGCAAACTTATTATTTCTCCATCTGCAACGCGCAGTTAGCCATGCTTTAAGTGGCACTTTACCAAAACAATTGCAGAATGGTGGAAATGTCCTGATTTTGCATGTTTGGCATCCCCTTGCTTTGCCTAGGTCTCAACCCGCTGTCGCCATACTTGCGCACGACAGTGGTGAGCACGGGCGCAGAATGTCAGTGTGTGAAGAGCGAACAGATGGCAGAAACATCCTAGCACTTGTAGCAGTATTTGGATTTGGATTTGGATTTGTGCATGTCGTGAGGCAACTCGACAGTATGGCAAGTATGGCTATTCTGAACCACGTGCCAGACAATACATGAAACGTTGGGTCAAGTGGGTAGTGCACACGAACGACACACAGCGTACACGCGGGCATACATGACGGTATGAGCCGAATGGTCAGTCAGCTGCTCGGTACATTGCGGTTGCATCATTTCCCTTGTATCATGTGGTTTCTGGCCACGATGATCATGTGCGAAGTCCATCGCACGGATAGTAGCCGGCGGATCATTGCATGCAGTTATGATCAAGTGACCATGCCCTCCGATACCCCCCCCCCCCCCCCGGTCTGGCAGAACCTCCACCTGCCAGACCGGGAGGGCGTCGGAGGAGTCACGAGCCTCTGCCTCCCGGTCTGGCAGGACCTCCACCTGCCAGACCGGGTGGGCGTCGGAGGAGTCACGAGCCTCTGACAATGTCTGGCGGTGCGATGGTGAATGTCATGTTTGGTAACGAGGTCACGAGGTCACGAGCAAGTGAATCGGGCTCGGATGTCCTCAATTTTCTCTGCGAAGAGTGAGGACGAGGTACAAGTGCATATTCTTTGCTCAGAGCCGCTTAAGTTTTCGTAGAACATCACTGATGTAATCATATTTCCCTCATCCGGAAATAACCCAGGCTGCGAAGATTAAAAGCTTTTGAAATCAGCCTAGATGAATGCTTGTTGACTGCTCCGTAAACGGCGATACAGAATCGGATCAGGGACACAAGTACCTCTACCACCATGACTAGGGCAGACTGTGGCAGAGGCTGCGCTTTTTGTGGTCACGCATTTCTGTACACCACTTCACAACGTTGTCAGTGTGCGCCGAGAATGTCACGCGCTGGTCAAATGCGACACTCAGGCTCCGCACAGTGGTAGAACTAGCGACAGCGGCTCCCATAAGTTGAATGTTGATGGTGGGAAGCCGCTGAATGCTTGAGACCCAAGAACTGTGGGCTGAGTTTCCTGACGGTGATTCTTATCCCGTTTTTGCAACAAAAAATCGGGAGACATGCACAATATCTTGTTCCATGGAGTTAACCAGAAATCCCATGTCGCCAGGCCTCCCAGACGTCTCCAGTTTTACCCCCAGTCTTCTCCATAGACTCGTAACCTCCCATGTTTCAGTCTCCCTCCCAGTCTTCTCCGTAGACTCGTCACCTCCCATCTTTCAGTCTCCCTCCCAGTCTTCTCCGTGGATTCGTCACCTCCCATCTTTCAGTCTCCCTCCCAGTCTTTTCCGTGGACTCGTCACCTCCCATCTTTCAGTCACGACACAGTTTGGATGACCCGTGCCGAATCCGTGCAAACTGTGTCGCTGGAGCTCGTTCTTCATGGTCACAGCATCACTCTCAGAGGAGCCGGTCTGGTTCGTCTCTGAGCCACACCTCTGTCTGATGGAGGGGCGCCGATCACAACGGTTATCATGTCATCATACTATGGCCGGAGCCAGCTCTGTCTGATGGAGGGGTGCCCATCACAACGGTCATCATGTCATCATGCTGCGGCCGGAGCCAGCCCTGTCTGATGGAGGGGTGCCCATCACAACGGTCATCATGTCATCATGCTGCGGCCGGAGCCAGCTCTGTCTGATGGAGGGGCACCCATCACGATGGTTATCATGTCATCATGTTGCGTCCGGGGCCAGCTCTGTCTGATGGAGGGGTGCCCATCACAATGGTCATCACGTCATCATGTTGCGTCCGGGGCCAGCTCTGTCTGGTGGAGGGGCGCCCATCACAATGGTCATCATGTCATCATGTTGCGTCCGGGGCCAGCTCTGTCTGATGGAGGGCGCCCATCACAACGGTCATCATGTCATCATGCTGCGGCCGGAGCCAGCGATGTCTGATGGAGAGGCCCCCATCACAACGGTTACCATGTCATCATGCTGCGGCTCAGCCCAGCCGAGCATTGGCTGCTCCCCCGGCGCCCCTCTGCACCATGTTTAGCTTCGGCAGCGTCATGCTCTAGTTTTCCTTGGTGCTCGCTATCGTGGACAATATTTTATGGCTCGCTGAAATCGCTGAAATGATGCCTTGCGGCTAAACCAAAGCTTGTCAGCCATGTGGAGCAGTTTGACGCCTGTTGTATTCTGGATTAGACTCGAAGCTGAGGTCAAAGATCCCGTTGGCATGATGCCGTCATAAATAGCAGTGGCACACTTCATTGATATCAGATATAGGCATTGTCGGACGCTTTGATGGAGGAATCAACAGACGTTTTCTCTTAGCTATTTGCAGTTGGATCTTAGCCGGGTTCAAGTTGGCTTAGTGCACGGGTGCAGTTCAGCACATACGTAAATCAGTTATGAGGAAGTGTTCCTAGCACCGATGTCCAAAGTTGGAAAGCTGGAGAAAAATAGATGCATCAATGTTCGAAGGAAAGGGGCATTGAACATCTAAACATTTGGCATGGGGGGGTGTGTGCAAATTTTTGGCAACAGCAGCAACGCTCAACAAAATATTATGCCGACAACACATGGGCCGGCCATAGTTTGTGTGGCAAATCCCTGGTGTGACAAATGCCATGGATATAGTTTCCATTCCAACGCCACCAACTGACAATGGACCTGAAATGGAACGCTGCAGATGCTCTTTAAAACGCGCTGAGATGCTTCGCAGTCGGAACCTTGTACCGAAACGTGATCACTTCAGGGAGCCGTCCCAGGCTGGGCGGTTGCGGCTGGTACCAGATCTAAAGACTTTTAGCAACCTCTATCTCGACCAAACGAATATGTATGACCACTTTGCGATTCTCTTGTTTGTACGATTCTCTTAAGGCTCGGCGTGCATAAAAATTGCCAACAGCACCGAAACACGGGAGCTTGATTCAACATTGTTGTGCAATGTACCGTTAGTAGCATCATGTGTATTGCGCGGTGGGTAATGTCAGTGTGGTCTTTCTCTATACGACCTTGACCGCGGTCCTGACGACGCGAAAATCCTGCCGCCAGATGGCAGTGTGTTTCCAAGTCAGACTTCGCGAGCAAAGTGCCCTCTGCCCACTTAAACCGTCTAATTCAAAGCACGGGCTCTTGTTTCTTTCGGACAATGATCCCGTGCTAGAGGGTCCGCTGACTGTGCCGACTTCCGCGAACGTCAGACCGTCCGAGCCGGTGGAGCCAGAGCTGTGTGGGCGTCCCGCGGGCCGCTGGCCACCGGGCTGCACGGGCGTGCCACCGGGAAGGTGGGTGAGGGTTGAGCGCGGCCGAGTGCAGAGACCTGTGGCTGGTTCGACCACTGTGTGGCGCAGATGGTCCGACGCCGGTCTTTATCGCCGAGAGTTTGACTTGTCGATACAGGAGGACGGCAAACCTTTCGGCTCGACACCATCCGACGCGCTCACTCGAGGGCCATCAGTGCTGCGAAGATAAGCTGCTGGTCGCAAGAGGCGGCGGCCGGCACTCGTCTCCGAGCGGCGTGCGTGCGGCGTCGCTGCCGTGCTCCTGCTCCGGGCTCTCGCTCCGAGCTGCCGACTCCCAGCTGCTCCCGGACTCGACACGCCTCGAGGCTCCAGTGGCGGCGTCGGACCTGCAGCGGCGGACCGGGCCGGTGGGACGTGTCGCCATGCTGACCACCATCAGCTGGGAGCCGGTGCGGCGGGCGTGCCGGCTCCGACATCCGATCGTGCGCGAGACGCTGGCGGAGCTGGTGGGCACCATGACGCTGGTGGTGAGTGAGGCTCGCGACCCGCACCCGCCGCGGACTCCGGCCGCGCTCTAATGGAGCCGCACTCGGGCGTGGTGCTCACTTAGGTAGACTGGGACCTGCTCATCAGGGAAAGATTCCAACTTGGCGATGAGAGGGACAGAGTCTGATTTCGCACACATAAAAACTGGCCCTCATTTCGTGAACAAAGGGCCAGACCCTGGCCTGATGTGCATAGGGACAGGTACTGACCTAGCCCTCAAAGACGCAGACTTTGGCCATATGCTTAAAGCAACACGCCTTGACTTGGCGCTGGCAGGGGCGTAGTCTTACTTGAGCACCACTGGGAAAAGTTCTTATTTGTTATCTACACGGCGATCTACGACCGGAGCGGACGACGAGTCGTGACCGACGATGCCGCCGAGTACGCGAGGTGGGCCGACAAAATTACATTGACGGAGTCATACATCATAAATGTATGCTCAAAGCATAAACAACGATACGTCAATATAGTCAGAATTAGGCGATAGATACGCCTGTTTTCGTACCAATGCGCGTCATGAACAACTGCGAACCGGGGTGAGGGTTAACAGTGACATTGACGTAGGCATGATTTTGAGACTTATTTGAGTATGAATATGAAAAAAACACGCGCCATATCGCATGGATATGTGACATCTAGCTGAGCTAATTGAAGCTGAAATGCTAGCGTTCCTACCTAGTGTTTGAGAACTGCGACCCAATGACATCGAAGTTAAATTGTCAAACAAATGAAGACCTCAATAATATATTTCCATCAGGAGCAGATCCCCAGGATTTCGTTCAGCGAGGGACCACTCTCCACTGCGGTGCCCCTGTACCGTTGTGCCCCGCCCCCTCCCCCTACCCCGCAAAAGTTCCCTAATTCTAGACGTTTTATTTCCAGATTCGCATTTTTAATCGGCGAACTAATTTCCTCTCCGCATCGTAGAGCACTACACCGAGTTTGTAAGCATGCATGCACATGGCGTGCGTACATTATTTCCAAAAGCTGACGTAGCCTAACATTCTGAGCTGTGTATGTCGGGGATGACATGGCAAAACGAGTTGGCGTTCTGACTGTCGGCAACAACAGTCGCATATCCCGATGATTCCGTCCGGATGCGAGATTACGTTACGTGCCTTTACCGTGTCGGTCATTGTTTCTTCTCTCAATATGAAGCTCGAGTAGCATGCTTTGTGAGCTAAGATATCACGTCCTGATAGAGTTGCGTGCTACTCATGATTATCGCTTTGCAGCGACGAGCTTCTGAACAGTCTCTTTAGTACGGCCGATAGTGCATGTCTACGTATGCATTGTATTCGCCTGTGAACATGCGTTGTGTACATAGCACACTATCCAATATTATCATCACTTGTAACACATGCAGCAGCCGCGAGTTGTACCGTTACAATGAGTTCGAAAAACAACAAGAGAGAGAGAGAGAGAGAGAGAGAGCGAGAGAGAGAGAGAGAGAGGAGAGAGAGTGAGAGAGAGAGATGAGAGAGAGGAGAGATGAGAGAGAGAGAGAGAGAGAGAGATATATATATATATATATATATATATATATATATATATATATATATATATATATATATACATGTGTGTGTGTGTGTGTGTGTGTGTGTGTGTGTGTGTGTGTGTGTGTGTGTGTGTGTGTGTGTGTGTGTGTGTGTGTGTGGTGTGTGTGTGTGTGTGTGTGTGTGTGTGTGTGTGTGTGTGTGTGTGTGTGTGTGTGTGTGTGTGTGTGTGTGTGTGTGTGTGTGTGTGTGTGTGTGTGTATCAACAGAGGGTTCTTGGTGATCTATAATCACGTTTGACCTTTTACTTTTGATTTAACCTTGATGTTGACCTCATGCATTAAGAACAACTGCAGATATAGTCTCTCCGCCATCGAAAATCCACATAAACGGCATCCCACGACCCTCTAGGTCGTCGAGAAAAGCTTTGAAACTGGACCAGCATTCAAGATGGCACTGGCCACCATCTTGAATTCTGTGAAACGCCCAGAGTTGCACGGGTAGCACCTAACATAATGTGGATCTCTTTGCTAAATAGAACATACTTCCGTGAAAAAGTTTGGGGTAGTCGACATTGCAGGGCCTCATGAAGGAAGCGTAACGATGGCAACTCGACTAATATGGGTTTCACAGCTTCAGCAACCGAGGACTAGCAAGCATGCTGTGGCCTGGGTGCGCATCATTATCATCATTATCTTGCGCGCGGACGCAAAATCGCATGGGAATACGCGGCTGCTATATCCGATACAAACTGCCGGGACAAAAGCGCAATCTGGTATATCTCGAACTTTTCCATCCGCATTTGTTTGGTCACGCCAGTACCCAACCAATTCTGTCAGGGGCAAGCTCAGTCTTAGTGTGGTGGAGACACATCTTACCGCTTATGTCCTCGAGCGTATTTACCACGCACAATGTTTTGTGCTTCCCAGTAAGGTGATTTAAATGGCCTGTTATGTCAATTGGGTATACACGCGGCTCCATGCCTCCACGCTTCCATCCATTGGCCATTAAAATGAAAAATTATTATCAGTTCGATAAACAATTTTTAATTAGCAATCCGTGCGTATCGGTGGCACGTTCACTTGAATCACGCTTCCGCTCAGCTCTCACTGTCTGCATTGGTTTGATTACGGACATACTCAACTGGCATTGCTGCTGCCTAACACGTATATTTGCTAGGTAGGGATGGATCTCACTGCAGGTTTTGTCCAGTGTTAAGTATACCATGATCTTTAAATTTATGTCAAAAGCCATCTGCGTTGCCAAATAGAACAATGTAGAAGTAAGAGCGAATGACCCCTCCCCATTGGCTGCGCTGACTTGGATTGATGTCCGGCACTTCGCAAAAGGATATACAGACACTGTGGCTAAAGGTGCAGTCAGAGTTACGATAAGAGCGGGCCACCGCGGTTAACAAAGAGCCCTTGCTGGTGATGAGGCAGCAGGGAATCAATCCCCACAATCTCTCCCCCCCCCCCCCCCCCCCCCGCCCCGCCAAAACAGAGGATGCGCCGGAAATAGCCCCCTCGATTTCGAGAGATCAACATTTTTCTTTTTATGTTGAAGTTTTTTGGCGAAAATAAAAACTAGAAGCTATCTCAAGATACAGTTCTGCATGTATTTAAAAGTAGATCGAATGAAATCAACCAGGAACGTTGACTGAGTGAAATGAAATAAAGTGACTGCACCCAACAAACCGCGGCCGCTATTCATTTTGTAATGGTACGTTCGGCCTCTTCCATAAAGGGTCGAATGAAGCCTGGTCGGATGCCCGCTTGTCAGGGGCGTTGTCGGGTTTCCCGGTTTTCAAATATATTGAGGGGCACGAGGATTGAACGCCAGCGTAGCTCGAAACAGAGTAAACAAACTTGTCATTGATTGTCCAGCCTTTGTTAGCTTGCGGATGTTCATCCTTTCTTCAGACGTCATTAGTGACAAATGGCATTAAGTGGTTTTGAGTGAGTACGCTCGCCGTCTTGGAGAAAGAGCGCCCACGCTCGGCGTTGCAATCTCCACGGGCCGCGCGACATTGGCCCGGCAGCCATCACCCGGCGGAGGTCCATGGGCGGGCGAAACGACCACGCTCAGGAAAGTGCTGCTTTCGAGCGCTTTATGAAATCAATGTATGCGCGTGAAGGGCATGCCGGGCTGCACTTTTCACTAGTAAAATTTTGAGATTGATACTGGAAACAGATCAACACGGACAGGCGTACAGCACCACGGATATGTGACGCAATGGTGTAATCGATGCTGCTTGCGTTGATGCACCTGCTAATTCCGTTCAGATAATCAAATTCGAAGCCGCACATGTGAAATCCCCTGATCAGGGGTTGAAGGGTTCTTGCGTCCCCGGCCGGGGTCCCCGGCGGTACGGGGACCGGAGTCCCCTGGCCGATCTGGAGGCCCCGGAGGGACACATCACGCACCGCGCCGGTCCCCTCTCTGCTGCGGCAGGCCGTCAGACCAGGGTAGGAAGAGCCCCCTGACCGGGGGTAGGGCGTCTGGCGCCGAATCGACGCAGAACCCTCACTGACGCAAAAGGATCCACCGGCCCTGGAAGTACAATAATTGGCACCGAGACGCCTATCCGGTCTTATCGGCCCTTGCCGAAACGGTACGGAGGGCCCTTCGTTCAGCACTGTGGCGTCTGACTTATACGGGGCTTTCTGCCGTTTCATTGTAAGTTTAAAGCATTCATCTACAAAAAAACGCGGATTCCTTGCACCGTTAGTTCCCATATATCCATTCATTATTAATAGGAATCCACCAACACAAGATGGATTTTGACTTTCAGAGCCCTGTGCCTGTCCCTGGGCAGCAAATGTGCTCCTGGCCGACTTGACGCTCATTGTCGATTCAGGGTCCCCTGTTGGACACTACAGGGTCCCAGGTGGACTTCAGGGGGTTTTCGGGGACTTCGCATAGAGTGACTTCGTTATTTCAGTGGCCCGACCAGTACGAGAGGACTTTTGATTGACACTTTCAGGCCCGGCCTCGCCCCTGCGTGGAATCGGGCCCCAGGTTCAGTACTGGTGTTGCACTTTACTGGCATATAGGCACTCACTATCCTAGGGGCCTCCGGTCGATTCAAGAGGCCCTCTGACTGACATTTCATGGTCAGGCCTTCGGGCTGAGCTTCCTTCACATGACATCTGACCTTTCCTTCGGACCCTATAGTCGGACCCCTGATCGTTGGTCCTCCATCAGCCCAAAGAAACTTTGGAACCTAAGGGACCCAAAGAGTTGCGTGCCCCTGCGCCCCCCCCCCCCCCCTACATGCTCTCATGATGGTGGTGTCCTTGGAATTCAGCTTTCGAGGTCCGTTGTGGTGCCCTGCACTTGGGTATCCCTTGAATACAAAAGTAATAATGCCCCAAAATGAAGCGGTTTTGTGCATTCCTTCGTCGAAGGGGCCGACACAACATAAGGTTAGGCTGAAAGGTACGGAAATTCCACTGCCCCTGGGCTTTGGTGCCCCTTGGAAATGGATGTTTTGGGTTCCTTTAAAAGACCTGTCTAGATTCAGGGCCCCTTGAAAATAGAGGTTATCGTGGCCCCAAGTAAAGCCTGGGCGGGGCCAACGCTGAGCGCGCCAATCTAGAATTTCGTCAATGGGAAGGCACGAACATTGCAGTGCCCTCTGGAGTTTGTGGTACCTTGAATATGAAAGTTTTCGGGCCCTGTGAGCTGCTTACAGGAATTAGGTGCCCGTTGAACAAAGAGCTTATGATGCTCCGAAAGGGAAGATCTTAGTGTCCTTTCGCTGAAGAGGCCGATCCAAGATTCATTCAGGGTGGAAAGCAAAGAAATTGCGGTGCCCTGGATTTTGGTCAGCTTTGTAACTCATGGCGTTGGTCCCTTTAAAAAGCCCGTTAGGATTTAATGCTCATTCTGAAAAGGTTATGGTGCCCCAAAAGAGGGTTTTGGTACCCCGTCGCCCATGGGGCCGATGCGAGACTTCGTCAGATTGGTAGGCGTAGCATTATTGTGCCCTGGAAAAAAGAAGACTGTAGCGGCCCTTCATCGAAATAGCCGATGCAGGATTTTCTGATAGGAAGTATTTTGGCATTTCAGTGGCCCTAGACCTAGGTGCCTTTCTGAAATGAAGATTTCGGGCCCATTGCGGTGCCCTTGGAATTTGGGACCTCTCGAAAATAAAAATTGTGTGGTTCCGAATTGAAAGTTTTGGTGTCCCTTTAGCATGAGATTTTGGTGCCCCTCCAATGAAAATCAAACCAAATGCATGGCAGGATTACTTTGCATCCGTAAATTACGCGTAATACTTCGTGCGTCATCCATTTCCTTAGAAAGGTGAGTGACACATTTTCATACACACTCCACAACTTTTGTTGTACGGCGTGCCGTATGGGTCCGACCAGTCGTGCGGCGTGCCGTATGGGTCTGACCAGTCGTGCGGCGTGCTGTATGGGTCTGACCAGTCGTGCGGCGTGCCGTATGGGTCCGACCAGTCGTGCGGCGTGCCGTATGGGTCCGACCAGTCGTGCGGCGTGCCGTATGGGTCTGACCAGTCGTGCGGCGTGCCGTATGAGTCCGACCAGTCGTGCGGCGTGCTGTATGGGTCCGACCAGTCGTGCGGCGTGCTGTATGGGTCTGACCAGTCGTGCGGCGTGCTGTATGGGTCCGACCAGTCGTGCGGCGTGCCGTATGGGTCTGGCCAGTCGTGCGGCGTGCCGTATGAGTCCGACCGGTCGTGCGGCGTGCTGTATGGGTCCGACCAGTCGTGCGGCGTGCCGTATGGGTCTGACAAGTCGTGCGGCGTGCCGTATGGGTCTGACCAGTCGTGCGTCGTGCCGTATGGGTCCGACCAGTCCCGCGATCTGTGTGATCCGTGCACGCGACTTGCGAGCACCGTGCGATCGCCGGTCCGTGACATCATCAGCCTGCACCGCCCGGCATTTGCAGTTCATCGGCAACTCCGTCATCGCCAACAACGCAGTGAACGCGATGAACAATGAGGCGCTCGGCTACGGCGTGGCGCTCGCCATCTCCGTGTTTGCCACCGGCGGTGTCTCAGGCAAGTATCGGGCCGGCACGACTCCCCCCCCCCCCCCGCCCTGGTTCGTCTGATCTAACCCGCCGCTCCCCACTCCGCCCCTTCTCGTCCTGTCCCGTTCTGCCCCGCCCCGCCGCGCTTCACCCCGCCCTGCCCCGCCCTGCTCCGCCCCGTGGCAGTCATGTTTCGCGGTTGAGACGTCATTCGCACGTGGGCCAGTCACCGGGCATGTGTCAGTCATCCAGCGTATGTCGGTCATCCGTCATGAATCAGCCAACCGATGCGTGTTCGACGTCACACGCATGTCAGTCATCGCACGTGTGCGAGGCACCTGTTGGGTGTGGGATGTCATGTGCGCGTCAGTTATCACATGCGTTGCGGTCAGCACCCGTGTCGTTGAATCCTTGCGGTAACGAAGATTCGCCATGCCGCCGGGGGTCGGTGGGACCGCTGTCCATGCATGCGTCCTGTGACCACTGGTGGGGCCACATGGCGTCTGGATGAGAACTCGAGGCCTCTGACTAACCGCGTGCCTTCAGCGTTGTAATAACGCAGCCCCGTATCCGCATGCTAAAACCAGAGAGGCTTGGTGGTGTGGATGACCGCACAGTGCTGTACTGGTGATACTGCGGTTCGACTGGTCATCAACGACCGCGCGGGAAGTCCGCGCCTCGCCCATCTCCCTCACTCCCCACCCGGGTGATGCCGATGATGCGGCGCTGCGTTCGGCCGGCCCCTCTGACGCGCGACGCCGGCGGCGGCGTGCCCTCGATGAGTGGTGGCCGTCGTCGCGCCGGCAGGGGGCCACGTGAACCCGGCGGTGACCGTGGCGCTCAGTCTGGCCGGGCGCTGCCAGCTGAACCGCGTGCTGCCGTTCGTCCTGGCGCAGTACATCGGCGGCTTCATCGGTGCCGCTCTCACGCACGGACTCTATTTCGGTGAGTTTTCGGCCGAGGGGTGGAGCCCGTGCGCGCGGCACCGGGGCGGCGTGAAGGATGTGGCAGCCATGTGGCCGTCACCAGTGTGACCACGTGTCTTTAACGAGGCGTTTATGGGTGAGAAGCCGGCCTTGTTGTGGCACTAGTGTGTGCGAATGACCAGTACGTTGCGGCAGTTGTATCGATTGGCGCACCAGCTTGCCTGGAGATCGACGTGATCTGAACGTTCAGAATTTTCCATTTAATTTTATTTCATATTATTCAGCACCATCCGGAAGCAGCAAAAAACTTCAGCTAGAAGTAAAAAGCAAAAAGAAAGCTCCCAGATGCGCTTTTCACCAGGCGAGCCTTGCACACACCTTGCACACTTTTTATGTTCATCCCATGTGCATTCCGATGGGATGGATGCTGTGCTATGCCGGCGTAGATCACAATTCCCGTCCGAACGAGACAGAGAACAGAGCCAAATCGTTCCGATTTGGGACGTTTGGTTCACTGCCGTGCTGACTGGTTAATATCCTTTGTGTTTTGAAACAGCTCCATCGTTCGTGGGCCGTTTGGCACGATCACAGCGCGGTGAACCTGAGCAGCCAACTCTCTTCCCCTCAGATTTGTTCAAGAAAGACCCCGGCAGATATAGTACACTGTACGGCATCTTCGCCACCTACCCCGAGCTGAACCGTGACTTCAAGCTGCAGAACATATCGCTGGGAGGCGCCTTTCTGGACCAGGTAATGGCGAGCTGTCGAGGCGAGCCGTGAAAACTGTCCAAGCGAGATGGCCCAAACCGCTGCGGCTTCGGCCGAGCTGCTCGCCGCAGCATGAGAGACGTGATAAGCTGAGGTCAGTGCCAAGAGCTTTTCGTTACGTTCACTCAGCCAGTGTGAGAATGGCGCGATGCGAGCCCCACAATGGCCATGCTGGCGCCAGCTCAACTGTCAGTAGCAACGGCGTAGGTCGCAAGCACACACCGGCTGTCGACTAGTACCCGTTCTATGTTCCAGGTGATGGGCACTGCCCTGCTCATGTATGGCATCATGGCCATCACGGATAAGCGCAACACGAACGTGCCCAAGGGTGTGGTAACCGCTGGCCATCGGCGTGACCCTGTTTGGGGTCATCACGTGCTCGAGTTCGAACACCGGCGCGGCGCTGAATCCGGCACGTGACTTCGCCCCACGGGTCTACTCCTATATCATCGGCTACAAGGACGTGTTCAAGTACGTCAAAACTTGGACCGTGGCTGTGCTCCCGTCTGCACGTGCAAACGAGTGGAAAATTATCTTAGGCGGCCTAATTTAATGTTTGTGAAACATATGGGCAGTCGTGCTGAGCACACACCTCCGTCGAAGATTTCGCACAAGAAGCTCTAAACCAGGACCTCTGACTGGTACATTTTGCCAACCCCCCCCCCCCCCCTTCAGCTGCTGGGCAAAACGTCACCCCTTGCGCGACATGTTTGACCTTCTGAGCAGCACTCTGCTTGTTCCTCCGTCTCGATGTTCCCAGCGGCTCCCAGCGGGTCCTGACACCGCCGTCCGGCTCACGCTCGTGATCCGCCCGCAGGTACTGTGACCACTTCTGGTGGGTCCCGATCGTGGCCTGCCACCTCGGTGCCGTCATCGGCGCGCTGGTCTACCTCCTGGCTATCGAGCTGCATCACCCGACCGGCCAGCACGAGGATGAGGACAAGGCCGTGCTCGACGTCGACGCCGACTCGGCGGCCGCTGCGCGGTCGCGGAGGGGCCACCGCGGCTCGGCCGGACCCGTACGCCAGGGGGCCGCGCGCCCGTACCGAGAGCCAGCGTACGAGCTGAGCGGACGGGAGAACCGAGCGTACGAGGTCGATGACGAGCCCCGCGCGTACTCCGGTCGACGCGGTGACAGTCGCTCCGGACGGGATCGGTTCGCCGACGATTATATGTGAGGCAAGCCGTCCACAGCATGGCTGTGTTCCGGCGTGTCCCCGGCGGGTGGGGAGGCACAGAACGGGCTCGCAGGGGAGGGCGTCGTACGTGCGGCGTATCCCCGGCGGGTGGGGAGGTACAGAACGGGCTCGCAGGGGAGGGTGTCGTACGTGCGGCGTATCCCCGGCGGGTGGGGAGGCACAGAACGGGCTCGCAGGGGAGGGTGTCGTACGTGCGGCGTGTCCCCGGCGAGTGGGGAGGCACAGAACGGGCTCGCAGGGGAGGGTGTCGTACGTGATTTGCCGCGCACGTTGGCGGAAAGTTGTTGGCGCTTCATGGGCGCGAATTGGTGGAGGACGTGCGGTGCCGCGGCGTAGGCATGTAACGACTGAGAATTCAGCATAGGCATATTGGTCGCTAAACATTTCCATGTTAAAGGCTGACAGCGAGTGAATACCACCAGATATATAATCAAAGAACATGCAGTCAGGTGTATGTTGCCTTCAGCAGTCGTTGAACAATCCATCTGACCATCTGTGGCATGGAGCGTTCGCCATAGATCACAGCATATGGATCCCCTGATTTACGAGCGAATCGTGTTTTGTTTCCGAGAGCCTTATATTATGATTATAGGCGGTAATCGAACATGGGATGACTGCCCTACTAGTGATGTGGCCAGAGGTGTATCACCAAGTTAGTTGGGAACGTGAGTTGAGAAGAGGGAGGGAGAACTAGAGTGTGTGTGTGAGAGGGAGAGGGGGGAGTCCGAGCTATAAAACAATTCAGGACCGACGCGGTCGCGACATGGACGCCTTCTTTGAGTGGCTTGATAACAGCCCGTCTCCCGCTGAGAATCGCAGACTGACGACTCCATCGTCTGATTCACCTGGCGCCACCAGCTTGAGCTCCGTCACGATGCGCTCGGTCGCAGCTCGAGTCATCTGCCGACCACCAAGTGGCGCCATCTTCAAGGCTCTGGACTTCATGGGTCGGCTGGCGCATGCTGTTGGGAATGAAAAACGTTTGTGTGTTGTTGGTGATGCTAAATATGTCTGGTTGCTGTCGATCGAGCCTGTTGTCCAGCGGTCTTAGCAGGTAGCATTGATGATAATTGTAAGGCAAGTCATGGTGGTCACGTTGCGCATGATTTGGGATCGTTGGTACATCGTGTCATTCAAGGATTCTCGGACGGTACGTCATCGCTCCAGGTCAGGTCGCGTTCACGAAGCACAGGCACGGTTGTGACAAGGGTAACGCGCACCCTGCGAAAGTTGTCGCGTATGTATTTCAGTCCTTGCACAAGGCATGGTATGGCTGCTCTCCTGCTGGCAGCATATCCATCTTGTCTTATTCGCCATGCGCATTGCATGCAACGTACGCGACGGTATGGGTTCCAGCGCGGTGGGCAGACGACCTTCGACCGACGCGTGTCGACGAGGCAGGCCTCAGCCTTAGGACAGCGGGCATGCTTGCGAGTTACAGACAGCCGCTGACGGCCAGGCGCGGGATTAGACGGAGCACTCAGCCGGGCATGCCGCGATAAGTGATGAAAAAAGAGACGGGAGCCAGTTCAGCACCGGCACCGACCGTGAATGTCGGGGTATCGCTTCAGAACCGGCGGCGCGTAGCTGGCGCCCGCGCTGCTATCAACCCTCCGTTAGCCCAGTAACATGCCTTGAGTGCTGGGAGACGAACGAGGCGATAACACAGGTGAAAGTTGTTAACTGTTATGATGCAGATGATATGAAAGCTAGGCTAGTGAGGCCTGACTCGTTTGACAAAGGATGCCAAGGGTGTGACCAATCTTTTGAGGAGGAGGAATTGGTCAGTCTTGCTTGTGATGAGAATTGATTAGATAGAGGTCCAGAGACGCATATCAATAGTTGCGCAGTAATGTACAAACAACACTGATTGAAGGTTAGCTGATATACGCGCGGTCAGTGCTGGATATTTAAATTGATGGTATTAATAAATTTGCAATGATATACGTTTTTCACAATTGCCAAGGTCTCACGAAAAATGCAGCAATTTTCGTTAATCTTGACTAACTTTAACAACACCACACACCAGTGCCGTTTTCGCTGGTTAGTCCTCCCTGGTTTAGGCCACAGTGTCCAGTGTCAGGGACTTGTCTCGAAGAAAGTAACGCGGGTTGCACTCTGATCGCTCACTAACACACACATGGGTCGGACGGCTTGAAAGCGTCCGTGAGCTTCAGATTCGTCCACGTGTAGGTCCACATCCACGCTGCAGATACATCCACGTGCAGATCCGCATCCACGCCGCAGATACATCCACGCACACTGTGCCGTCGGTTTCACATTTTGGACTGCTCTGCTTGTTGAGATATGATACGACTTCTTGGTGTTGATGACTGCAGTTAAAGGGCCGCCGACGTTGGAAATAATTTTGTGTCCATAAGATATCAATGCTTCAAACTGTCACAAAATTGAAGAATTCTTGTTTTGCACACGATATCAGGTCCTGATCTATTTATACCTATTCACACTTTCGTCACGGCGATCGGCCGCGTCCTTCCCTATTAATATTTGCCAGGGTCGCGCTGCTGACGCCGGACTGTCGAAATTCGAGCCCGGCTTGATCCGTTTTACTCACGTTTTTTTCCACGGAAAATAAAGCCTTGTCCATTTTAATGGCACGGAGAAGGTAAAAACAATGGTGAGATTGCAATGCCGCAGCAAAAACTGTCTGTTATAAAAGAACTGTTAGATCAGATAGTTTTGTCTGCACTTGTTTTCTTCGCCTGCTACGAACTTGCGCATTCGCACTTGTATGAAAACGTTTCCAAGTCAGCGCTTCTTGTTACTCAAAACTTCGTGAGCCAGCGGCCAGTGTATTCAGAGATATTACATTATAGAAACCATGCTGGCCGGCCCGACCTGACCGGACGGGGCTGGGCCAGGCCGTGTAAGTTGCTATTATATTCAAAACAAATCCACTGCCGATCAAGTCTTACCCGCAACTCATTGCGACATTTGAGCTTAGGCAGCCCGACCCACTCAGCCACGCTTTTGACGAACTTCAATTTTTGCAGTCTCTGTTCATATTGCCCCAAAAGTTTTCCGCACTAACCCAAAAAAACTGTGCCGTGCCAACCGAGGTTGTCAGTGAAAAGTGTTTCAGTTGTGTGGCGCTAATCCCTCCCCTTTGCCATTTGCAAACCCCTGTGTCCATCTGTCCCTGTGCAAATCCCTGATTTTATTTCCTTTTCTTGTGAGAGGAGAACCGCACAATATTTAAGAGGTGAAAAACCGAATCACATCGGTCGAAGCAGGCTAATAATGTCTATTTGGCATTTTGACCCTCGCCCTGATCCTCCGTTTTTCATAACGCGGACTGATAAGGAGGGTTAATGCGACTCCCATTGCTGTTTACAAAGAAGTTAAGATAGAGCTCTGCCAAAAAGACAGGTAGATTGGCCTCAACGGGACCTTGCGATTGGTACTCGTTAGTATGCTGTCAGGCCAATAACTGACACCATCATGCACGGTCAAATGTCGAGCTTCCCATCGAGTTTCACTTTTTCATGTTTTATCCGCCGCGCGTGTTCCGCCATATCGCCGTCTCCGCCCGCTGCCCGTTCAGACCGTAAATTGCCGAGCAGTGTTTCTCGTAGATCATCGTTGCTCCGAAACCACAAAGGCTGGGAAAATGTTTTTGGTGTCAGAGCATGTTCAATGGATGCCCCATAGGGAACTGAACATTTGTACGCGATTGCACGACATGTTGTAAAGGTATTCTCAAAACACCTCAGGGCGTTGCATCAATCACCCCCTGTCTAAACGGACCTGTCTAAACGGATGGGCTCAATCACGTTCAAAGCCTCAATCAAATGCGTCGAACGAATTGTATTCATCTGATGGCATTTGTTAACGAAAATCACAAGTTTGCGCCATCAGGAGCAGCCAAAGGTTTCAGCGTAACTTGCATCACTCTCAGACTTTCAGTGCAACCCTGCACACGCTCGTAATCTGTGCTACCATATGTATGCGACCAGTGTATGTGACCAACAATGCGCGAATTAACGCAGGCAACCCATCCAGGCAAGACCCGCGGTGGCCGGGGAACGGTGACCCTTGAAGGGCCGGCCAGGGCGTACCGCACGGCCGGAGCGGCACGGCCAGCATTACCTAACACCGCTACAAATGCAATCAGTCCGCCCTGCTTTCCGGCCACTCATCCTTTCATCCTTGATTCCTGTCACGTCTCCTCATCACGGGGGCAAGCCGCTGTCGTCAGCCGTGAGCCGGCCTCCCGGCCGCCCCGTGGGAGCCCCGCCCGGGCGACCGCACAAACCCAAAGAAGGGTCCCTGTGCCGGTTCATGCTTGATAGCAGAGGCCTCCATGATGGGCGCAGTTGCGCTTTACCACTCGTTTCTCCCCTTCATCTCATTGCGTCGGAATGATCATTACGGATCGGAGGCGCTCGACTGCGAATAAAACAAAACCGTTGCATATTTCAGGTTGCATTTCAGTTCTCGAAGGAAGAGCCCGAGCACTTCTTCGCTTGTCATGCCAGGGTCGTCCGGTCCTGATTCGCCTGTCATGTCAGGTCGTCCGGTCCTGATTCGCCTGTCATGTCAGGTCGTCCGGTCCTGATTCGCCTGTCATGTCAGGTCGTCCGGTCCTGATTCACGTACCAAAGGTCGTGACGTCCTAGTTTTTTCGGCATTGTGAGCTCTTTTGTTGATGTGTTAGTTTCATGTTATGCTCCATGTTACTCATGGAGTTGCTCAATGTTTTTACCATTTTCTATGGTCTTTGGTGGGATTAATCACATTGTATGCTCTATTGGCTGTTTTAAGAGGGCACTCGTTTTGTTGATGTTTACGTTCCTTACGTTTCTACGTTAATGCTCTTCGTTTTAAGTTACATTTGCCGGGGACCATAAATATTTCATAGCATACTTCATCGGCCGGCTGATATATTTTCTAACCAGCACACTCTCATACCTTGAAGGCCGGCTATTTGCAGCGTGAGCACTAAGTCAGGTCGGCCGCACCTCGAGCGCTCGATCAAGTATAAGCGTAGCGAACAACACAACGCACATTCTCTGCTTGCTCCTTTCCACTGTGTGCACTATGTGTGGTGCGTTTCCAGTTGATACTCATCTCTTATTCCAAAACTGCTCAGTGTTGACCTCTCTTAAACGCGAGTCTTCCTGTTGGCATGCGCAATGACATTGGAATCGTATCATCGGCATGTCACGAATCAGACTTCCTGCGATCTCTCTCACAATGCCTACGAAATATGCCTATCAGCATACCATTATTCAAATTACCGGGTTTTTTATCGATCTAAATCTGAATATGAATAGGAACAGGCAGCTGCCTTGGAAGACGAATCATCCGGCGCTCCATGCTAGGTGCCCTGTAATGTGCTGAACGACTGTCTAGCGGCGGATAGGACGTTGGACTCGAGGAAGGAAACCCGTCGGCGAAACCGAATCCACATGATGCTATTCTCTTTCAGACTCCAGCTTCTTCTCTTCGTTCCGGAGTCGAACACTCAGAGCGAAGCAAACATAATGCCTGTCTCGCAAGGGGCCCCAACTGGCCAACATTGGGCCGCGCTGGTTGACAGCGGGCCCCAAACGGTCCAGAGATCACATTAGATCCTTGGAACGCCGCGGGTAAAACACAGGGAGCCTCTCCTGCTCAAAAGGATTTTTTGAAAGGACCGATTGTCTCACCAGGCCAAGAGGTTTTGTTCAACTTTATCTACCTAAGAAGGAGATCCTTTTAAGGAAATGGGCGAAATCCGAGGGGAAAATAGATATGGGTCCGAATTAGACGCCCTCAGCTCTGATTAGGAGGTTCTAGATCGGCTTGCCCTCCCCCCCCCCCCCCCACCCCTCCTCTCAGAGATGGTCAGTAGCACCGCTCCTGACTACACGCCACTGCGTTTCCTTTTGTGATGTAAGCTGGATTCCTGCATTCCCCATAAGCTGGATTTCTGATTAAGCGATCCTGCATCCCAGTACACAGTGCATGCCGATCTGGACATGGTCTGTCCCGCGTTTTTACGCTCTCCTTAGCTGCACCACCCCATGGTTATCCGTATTCATTTGCAGCTTGTCGCATGTTGGACCATCGGCTCCGTCCTCACCAACAGTCACATCACAGGTCTTTCCACCCTCCCCAACAGTCAAATCACAGGTCTGCCCACCCTCACCAACAGTAAAATCACAGGTCGGCACACCCTCACCAACGGCCATGTCACAGGTCTCCCCACCCTCACCAGCGGTCATATCACACGTCTTCCCACCCTCACCAACAGTCATGTCACAGGTCTGCCCACCCTCACCAACGGTCATATCACAGGTCTGCCGCGGAGCTTCAGAGGCTTCCCGGCCGACGAAGCTTTCTGCGCAGCACCGCATCCGGCAGAGGTCCGGCAGAATGGCCGCGTTTAAGACCGTGTATGGCGCAGTAGGGGGCGGGTCTCACCGGCGGGCTGGCAGGCTGGTCGAGCCCTCGTCCCAGGTTGGACTTACCTCGAGGGCGAGGCCGAGCACGTGTTCACTATCTGTCACGGACCCGGCCGCAGCGGTCAAGCACGTGCACAGCTCACTGACTATGCAATTAGGTACGGGCCTTCTGTTCAAGGCCTTCGTTTCTCCTGGCTTCGCGTTCTCTGCTTCACGGTCCCCGTATTCGTCCCAGATATACTACCCGCCTTTTCAGATTGGTACGGGAGAGATGAGCCCTCAGAGACGCAGCCAAATAGAGGGAAAGGGCGTAACTGCCCTTCTCTGATGCCATGGATCATACATGCACTCTTCGGACAGGCAAGACAGACGCGATCCGTCGGCAGCTTGCGAAGCGTCTATTCGCTATACGAAGTACTTAGCAGTGGTCGCGATCGCAGCCCACTCGACCATCCACTGCATCTCCGGAGTTTTGCTCGCGCGTCCGACCGCGTCATTACCCTTCGTCGTGCGCTGTAAATCGGCATCCCGCGCGAAACTGCCCACGCCGGGCGACCTTCACCCCGCCCCTCCCCCCTGACCTTGACACCGCTCCTCTCTCCAGCACCCAGCCGCCTGCCGCACCACAGCGGACCGCAGTGGGGAGGGGGGGGGGGGGGCGGCGGGGGCGACCCGGACCTTCCGCCCGCCGCGGGCGGCAGATTACACCAGCGGAGGCCTGGCAGCGGCGGGGGGACGCGACGGCAGACACTGGGGGAGGTGGAGCGCCCTGATGTGTGCAGGTGCAGCTGGAAGGTCACGGTCGTGTGGTGGCCAGTAGGTGTTGTGCATTTAAGGGAGCCATCCAACGACTCGCGGGCAAGGCTAGTGAGAAGGCGAATAAGAAAAGGTGGATAGGCGAATACCAAAGACAAACACTAGAGAGCAACAGAAATGCAGGACAGGTCAGATTGGTTTAACCGGCCCGCTCAGGGCTTACTGCAAGTAATTTCACTCATTTCACTCCATGCCCGTACTCCGTTTATTTTAAAACTGAAAATTGTGTTATTTCGACAACAATTTGTTGTCGTTCCAATTGTTTTCTCTTCCCTTTCACTCCCTATCCTTAGCTTCTGTTTTCCAATATCTCCGTTGGTTTGCTTCATTTCACGTTAACGTCTTATCACTGCACGAGTGGAGAAAATAATCTGTATTATTTAAGACGAACGCCTCATCATCGCATCAAAGTTCCAACTGATATGTTCCGTCCGTCCGTGCGCTCTCGCACACGGCGGCTCCTCCGACTGCCGCGCCCTCGCCAGCGCTAGGCTGGAGGCCACGGTCGCGGCGGCCCGCGTCTCACTCCCACTTCCGGGCAGCCGCCACCGGCGCGCTCCTCTCGCCCGTCCCTCCGTCAGCGCCGGCCGCCATCAGCCGGCCTAGTTGTTGAGCCAGAAGGCGCCGACGAAGAGCTCGGGGTGCTCCTGGCGCAGCTGCTCGTACTCGGGGATCTGGTCGGGCCCCACGGGCAGGTGGTCAGCCTCAGGCTGGAAGCCGCCTTCGTCGGCGCGATAGTCAACGCGGTACGTCCGCTGGTCGGGTCCGACGTACTCGAAGCTGCCCTCCTTGCTGATGCTGCCCGTCTCCGGCTCCGAGCCAGGGTAGCTGCGGCCCACCTCCTCCACCTGCGGGGCGCAGCTGTCAGCTGGGGCGACAGCTGGGGCTGCGTGGCACGCCACCGACACCGGGGGAGGCGCTCACACGGAGCGGCAGGCAGCTCACTCGCGCAGTCAGATATCGTCAAGCTCGGCATAAGTCACACAGTCAATGCCATGTCACGCAGTCAGACAGTCACAAAGTCAATGCCAGGCTCTGTTCTAAGCAGCTGCAGCACCAGCGTTCAGCACGCATTGCTCGGCTCCCCATCCCTCATGGACTTATGACCACGTGTTTGCTCACTGAAGCACATTTTTAGTATCCTTTTCTATAGGTGCTTTCGATCAAAATGATATCTGCGCTTAATGAAAACGCAGACAGCGTACGTTAGTTTGTATTCTTATTGTCGGCAGTGATAAACCGAAATATGATTCCTTTAAGTGGGGTAAAAACAGCAAAAGTAATACTTAGTCAACGGGCATTTCCTCGTCAAGACGTGATGACATCACAATTATCAGTACTGCATCCTTCATACCAGCCCTCTCGTTGTCTGCACACATACCTTCTGTCCGTTGTCCTGCTCGTAACCATACTCGTAGTTGCCCTTGCCGTCTTGTTCGAAGTACTGGTTAACAATGCGAATCTCCGGCTGCTTCTGCTCGATGACATTGCCGTACTCATCGAACTGAGCCTGAGGCGCGGCGGCGGCCAGGGCGGCCAGGGCGGCGAACACAACCTGAGCGACAAAAGTGAAGCTGTGTAAGTACCTGCTGTCCTGTCCTATCCTGTCCTCCTCACATCCGTGTGTGTAAATGTCCTTGTCGCCATCGTTGAATGCAGATTTAGAACAAGTACCTGAGGCTGTGTCTGTCCGAAAACATTGCCGTGTTCGTCGTTGAGGGCCTGAGGCTCGGCGACGGCCAGGGCGGCCAGGGCGGCAAACACAGCCTGAAGCCGAAAGGGCAAGGCTTAAAACCGTCTGAACAGAGCCTGCAGCGTGCTGGTGGCGGGAAGCAACCAAGGCAGCCAGGGCAGCCAGGGTAGCCAGGGCAGCCAGGGTAACCAGGGCGGCCAGGGCAGCCAGGGCAGCCAGGGTAACCAGGGTAGCAAGGGTAACAAAGGCAGCAAACACCGCCTGACGGCCCACGAGATGGCGTGCTGTCGAGCTCGGGTTTAGAGCAATCACCCGCCAGTCGGCGAGACAGGAACGAGGTTATCTGGCATGCATAGCCTCGAGGACCAACGTCAATGACGAGTGAAAGTAGGGAACATTTTGTCGTCAGGGCGTAGGTAACGTTGGTATGGCAGTCAAATGACGCCTTCAAAGTGTTGTTACTGGTGGGGGATGGTGGCAAATGACGCCTTAGAGGCGTTGTTACCGTTGGGGGATGGTGGCAAATGACGCCTTAGAAGCGTTGTTACCGTTGGGGGATAGTGGCAAATGACGCCTTAGAAGTGTTGTTACCGTTGGGGGATAGTGGCAAAGCTCACCGGCATGCATGCCTTCCATCAGCGCTGGGCTCGGATGAAAGTTAAGATCATGAGAATTCGGAACAAATGTGTGTTGCTCACAAGCGCGTCTGTTTAAAGGCTCATAACTTATGCGTAGTTACTTCAAGTCTGCGGCAATAAGCTCGCCAGCCGTCAGAATGCTTGCAATTGTTCATCAGTTCAAATGTTGTACACAAAAATACACACAAAATTGAAATAGAACAGAATTACAAGCATGGCATCTTGTGGAAAGGGTGAAAATGAAAGCGTCCATTGTGTATGAGATGCAAGCCTAAAACCGGACCAGTTAACGGAATCGGGTGCTCACGGGAATAATAATACAATCAGAAAAAGTATATCATAGCACCAAAGGTACTTCGGTAACTTTGAATATTACTACTTAAACCGCAAAACGCGCATATTTGAACGCTCATGCACTCACGACAACCCCGCCGCATTAAGCAGCCCAGACCACGCCAGCCACGCCAGCGTACTCACGAGATGCATGTTTCGGGTAGAGCTGCGGCGAGACCTGCGACCTGCGGACCGCTCCAGTGTCAACTGACGCAGCACCATCCTCCGGCTGAGTCTTAAATACGGAACCGGTTCCGGCTGCGACCCTCTGCTAGCGGCGTCACGCCACTGCACGGGCCTGAGTCAGTAGCTCTTATCTCGCGGCCAGACCGGTCGGGGTTCCAGGACGACTCTCAGGACCGCTCAGGTGCGGTGTTCCCGGTACGGCACCGGCGCGCTTCGGACGGGTGCGATGGCAGTTTGCCGAACGCCGGCTGACTTGCTGCGGCGCGGCCAAACGTCCGCGTTCAGTCCTGCGTCAGCGAACTGGCCGCGGGTGGAAGAGATTTGCCACCGCACCCTACGCGGCGGCCCTCTGCGGGATCGTCTCCCCTTTTATATGTCCGCGCTCCTAAGCAAAGGCGATTCGCGCCATCAGTTATCAACAGGCGCCCTAATGTTGATGGGATACTAATGAGCGGTCCTCACTTCACCGTCAAGCTCTCATACGAAATGATCGGCAGCGTGGCTAGTGGAAAAAAGCTAAGCGAAAACTAAAACAAATGACATCTCCTGTATTACCCTGTCGTCATGTTTTGAAATCCCTCGTCGTCCTGTCGTCAAGTCATGAATTGGAAGACGATTGGACGACGAGGGATTTCCATTTTGTCTTAATCGCCCCATATTTGTGCACCGATTTATGGTTGGTCTCATGCCACTGATATCAATTTGACTATGTTTTACCAATCGTTTGCTGGTGCGCCACGCTGCGCCGTCCGTCTAGCTAGTCGATCTGGCAATAGACAGCACATTTTTTAGGCAACCATGTATATGATTTTGGTATCTGCTTGCTTGCAACGTTCGCACAGATTGGGAACATTTTCCGTCTTTTATGCGCGTTAGATTTGCAAGATGATGTCGCTTAATTAGCATCTCCTACGGTGTAGAACGTCGGTTATCTTCGAGATGAATCTTAATATGCATTTGATGCTGGTGTAGGGAATGTTTTGTGACTCCATCTTTTCGCATTATGAGTTTCGAGGTATTATGCTGACTGTTATCAACTTTGAATATATCGCTAGATACTGATTTGAACATCAGCCAAACGTTCGCGGACATTGTGAACACAGCTCACTTTCTCCGTGCCTTTGTATTTTAGTTTTAGGCGGATCTCATGCCACGGATTCAAATTTGATCATGCAATCTCCAACCGTTTACTGGTGCTTGGTCAACGTTGTAACGGTCTGGTCAGGATTGACAATGTAACTAACGCTTACTTAGCAACTTTTCTAAACCGAAACCCTTTGCCATATTAAAGATCGATAACGGTCGTTATAAGAACTCTGAACTTGTATCGTCAAAATGCACTTCTCGGGCACGCGAGGTGGCCGCTATCACGCAGAACTGATCCCCATCGTCATCCGTCAAGGTCCGTGCCCACGCCATTCAAACTGCGAGGTTCTGGACGCGAATAACCAATGCATCCGACGCACCCTAAAGCCACCATTATGTACACGATGACGATGATATGTATATATATATATATATATATATATATATATATATATATATATATATATATAACAGCAAGGTGGAGATACTCTGGTCGCTAGTGAGGCTTCACCCGGAACGCTTGTTTTAGTCGGCTGATTTTGATTGATTGAATGAGTCGATTCTTTTGGTTCTTTCAGTACTTTTCTGTCACTATTCTTAACGGTGCGTTGCTAACGTAATGCCCATGGAAGATATTGAAAATTGAATAAGTCCGGAAACAGGTACCGGATCTTAGTCAAATTTGGATCGTGTATGGAGGTGACTATGACGTTTAACCAACCGGATTTCATTTCATTACCTACCGCATTTCGCAGAATATTATATAATTACCGTGAAAAAGTTGCGCAAAGAATTCAGAATGTCGCACTTATCATTGAACCGGCTGGTCCACAACATGCGAGTTCCAGCTTGGGATGGGCCAATGAATAGTTTTTTTTACTTCGAGTTTTCCTCATGGTTCTGCAATGTTGCAATTGCAGCACTCTTCTGTACATCGTATGTAAATTTAGTCTAGATATTTTGATACGATAGATTTGGAATTAAAGTCAACGGTAAGCAGAGCTCGCTATGTGCGCCCTGACCCCTGAGCCCTGACTCCTGAGCCCTGGCCCCTGAGCCCTGACCCCTGAGCCCTGACCCCTGATCCCACTGTCCGATCGTGAAATTCCGGCTCAGTGGGAGAATCCGCGGCCGATATCACCGGCCACAGGCCATTTCAGCCAAGGGTAAAAGCCGGTGACGGAGCGCCTTAAACCCACCTGCCCACCGCAGGAAGGCTAAAAGGCAAGCGTTGCAGGCAGGTTACGAAGCTCTGAATAAACTCTCTCTTCTTCTTTCTCTTCTCTTCTCTCTCTCTCTTCTCTCCTCTCTCCTCTCTCTCTCTCTCTCGCTCTCTCTCTCTCTCTCTCCTCGTGTCTCTTCTTTCTTATCTCTCTCTCCTCTTCTCTTCTTCTTCCTCTCTCTCTTCTCTCTCGTCTCTCTCTCTCTCTTCTCTCTCTCTTCTCCTTCTCTCTCCTCTCTCTCTCTTCTCTCTCTCTCTCTTCGCGCTCTTCTCTCTTATCTCTCCTCTCTCTCGCTTCTCTCTCTCTCTTCTCTCTCTCTCGCTCTCTTCTCGCTCTCTCTTCCTTCTCTCTCTTCTCTCTTCTCTCTCATTCTCCTCTCTCTCTTCTCTATCTCTCTCTTTCTCTCTCTCTCTCTCGCTCTCTCTCTCTTCTCTCTCTCTTCTCTCTCTCTCTCTCTTCTCTCTCTCGCTCCTCCTTTCTCTCTCTCTCTTCTCTCTCTTTTCTCTCTCTTCTTCTCTCTCTCTCCTTTCTCGCTCTCTTTCTCTTCTCTCTCTTAGTCTCTCCTTCCTCTCGCTCTCCCTCTCTCCTCTCTCTCTCTCCTCTCTCTCTCTCTCTTCGCTATCTCTCTCTCCTCTCTCCTCTTTCTCTCTCTCTGTCGCTCTCATCTCTCTCTCATCTCTCTCTCTCTATCGCTCTCTCTCTCTACTCTTCTCTCTCTACTCTCCTCTCTCTCTCTCTCCTCTCTCTATCTCTCTTCTCTCTCTCCTCTCGTTCTCTTCTCTATCTCTCTATTCTCTCTCTATCTGCCTCTCTGGACAATCCTTGGCAAGCAAGAGGACGCGACAACAATGTTTGGCATAACCACTGGTCAATACTCATTATGTATTAGTTATCAACGTTTCGAGCATGCGTATCATCATCAGGACGAGTACTATAGCAGAAGTTCAATCAATTCACAATGCAATGCTAGAACATTCAACCAATGTCGCTAGACATGACAACGGTCACAGTTAACACAATTTAACACGACATCTTCGCGCATAAGCAGAACAGTTTAAAAAAATACAGAAATCACGCGACGAAATATCCTTTTGACTCGGTACGAAAAGGGCTGCCTTATTACTTGCAAAGAATGTATAGACCCCAATGACGGCATTATGGTGAATATGAAGTAATTCAAAAATCCTAAGATCGAGAGCATTACTGCAACGTCCTAACACGGGATAGTTTTCAATGTTAAAGTGAATAGCACACGAAAATGACTGGTCTTGTAATGGGCAAAGGGCCTCGGTTAGACAGAATGCTACCTGCACGGTCAGACCTTTCCAAATGTTGCTGCACTCTGCAGTGCAAATTACGAAGGATTGAGCCCACCTAAGATGTTCCACACGGAGCGCAGCAGTGTTCATGAAGGACTGCGGAGACAGAACATTTGGGAAGCTTGTCTTTTAGCTAAAAGAAAGGTCCAACAGTTCACTGATATGATTCTAGGGGACAGAACAGGCTGAAAACCTAGTAACAGGCTGGCAATCTCATTTTTTACTTGTATCGACTGTTTTCCAAAAAAGGCAGCGTTAAATACTAATTCAGCCTTAGGCCTTCGTGAGCGGTGGGGCTTTTGTTGTTGTTTTTTTAGTTAATAATTGGAACTTCAATGGAAAGCGCTGTAAATACCCGTTTTTATACCACATAGGGAATGTAATGTAAATGTAATGTGATGTGAATGTAATGTGAATGTGAAAATAAAAAAACTCGGGAATAAATGAGAAAAGGCTCAGTCAAAGACCAGTGAACGTGGGCAATTTATAGACAGAGGTTGCAAATTTGCCTTGTAGCTTTCGAACTCGCACATTCAGGAAAGGCAAACAGCCAATTTCATTCTTCCGCTCCTTCGTTGACTGCATGCTAGAATGTTGGACGTTAAAAGAAGTGAGAAATTGCTCAGTATGCAAACTCTGTCGAAACAACAGACAGGCGACGTCAATCTATCGCCGATAGAGTGCTGTTCGAATGTTAGGGGAGGGGGGGGGGGGGCAGGTGCATAGTCACTGGTTATCGTGAAAGCACGTAAAGATATTGGCAAAAGTGGGTCCAATTGGAGGTCCCAGCCCCACGCCTTCTGTTTGTTCATGCAGTTTGCCTTTGAAGATAAGGAAGGAGTTCGTGACAGCGAGTTTCAGTATAGAGCGGAAACAAGCCGCAGTAAAGCCCATGAACGTAGCCCGAACAGCTCGGAAGCCCGGACAGCTCGGAAGCCCGGACAGCTCGGAAGCCCAGACAGCTCGCAAGCACAGACAGCTCGAAAGCCCGGACAGCTTGCAAGCCCGGACAGCTCGGAAGCACAGACAGCTCGGAAGCACAGACAGCTCGCAAGCCCGGACAGCTCGAAAGCCCAGACAGCTCGGAAGAACAGACAGCTCGGAAGCCCAGACAGCTCGCAAGCCCGGACACCTCGCAAGCCCGGACAGCTCGCAAGCACAGACAGCTCGGAAGCCCAGACAGCTCGCAAGCCCGGACAGCTCGAAAGCCCGGACACAAACTTTTCACGCAAATGGCTAGAGATCCCTTCTGCGGAATATTTTTAAAAAGGTTCCAAGCATCAAAGCTGGCCGTAACCATACATTCCGAAAGCTCATGTAGAAATTTCTTGCGCAAATTGAGTAGAACTCGTCAGTATATATATATATATATATATATATATATATATATATATATATGTATGCTATATTTCGATATATTTTGCCGCACGTATGATATCAGACAAAACTGCCG